GTTTATTTTAATCCTTTTTATTAAGATCTGAGGACAGAGGAAGACAAATAAAACATCTTAAAAATTACATTCGTAAAGATTTTAGACAAATAGAGCAGTTATTCTACTTGTAGAAAATTAACAATTGTTGTTGACCAAAAGTTAAAAGTATTGTAGCTTAATGTGGCTAACTGAGCGAGCTAAAAGAGGCTAACCTGTTAGCTACTGAGCACGGCTAGCCACAGCGCTACCCAGCTCTTTACATCAGAGCCGAACAGTTACTTTATTCACCATAAACAGATTTTTTCAGTTTTGTTATCGATCAAGTTAAACTCGTCATTAGTTACGCTAACGGACGCTGCTTGATGTTATTGTCGTTGTCTGGGCAACCACTATGTTTTACATCACATGGCAACGTTCAGCCAATCATGTAGCGTAACGTCAGTGGCAGGAAGCAGGACCAGAGCAGACCTGGTAGCTACAGCGTACTTTTCCTGATGTGTTATCAGAGCCGGTGTTTTACAGCGAGGTCAGTCAGCTGAGTGGGCGGAGCTTCAGTGCCTCCTGGAAGCATTCAGGGATAAATTCATCCTGCGGGTTAGATCAGAGGGTGTGATGAGCGTCCTGTTTGTGAGCAGGAGCTTCCAGCCGTGGAGGAGGTCTCTGTGAGCTTACCTGAGGAAGCGGAGCTGCAGCCGGCGGGGACGGTCTCCAGCATCGTCCAGCAGCTCGGTGGGTAGAAACGCTACGCCGACCCCGGCTTCAGGGTCCCTCCTCAGCCCCTCACCTCTTTGTGTCCTTTCAGTGATCGTCCAGTCCCTGAAAAACACCCCCCCGCTGAACGAGGACAGCATCCTGTTCCGCTCTGACCGGGTGGCAGTGGGAAAGGTGAGGCCTGTCCTGAGCTCACGCTCTCTGGATGCTTTCAGCGCTGAAACCTGCTGCTGCTGTTGTTCCAGGTGTTCGAGGTGTTCGGCCCCGTCTGCAGCCCTTTGTACGTCCTCCGCTTTAACTCTTCAGACCAGATCAGCAACAAAGGCCTCTCAGAGGGATGCACCGTTTATTTTGCTCCTTCACTCAAGGAGTACACAGAGTACATCCTCACCCAGCAGCTCAAACTGTGAGGACGCCATCAGGTCGCTTTACAGCTCAACCATGCTGGTCTGTGTAACGGTTCTAACATCCCTGATGTTTCCACAGCCTGAAGGGATCCGATGCTTCCTGGAAGAACGACGAGGAGCCGCCGGAGGAGGTAACCCAGCTCGCCTTGGGATCAGCGTGGGTGGGGATAGCGATGGCTCCAGTAAAGCCGGAACA